TACCAAGCCTGGGTTCTCCCAGTGCTGCATCCTGACCTCGCTCTCCTTCCCATTGAATCGCTTGTGCTCTGGGACAAAGAAAGGACCCATAAGGCGCATTTTAGGCTTTCTGTATTTAATGATCAGCCCCCATCCTTCCCTCCTTCCCCATGGCATACGGAATGGTTTCAAAGCGTATCTTTCAATACCTCATACTGCAGCCTCACTGGCACATCCCAGGTGACTCAAACTGTTCCTCGATATGTTCGCACATCAGAGATGCCACAGTGACAAACACCTCGGAACTAGATATAGAACTGACAAAACTATTTAAGTTTACAAAAAATCCATTACAGGACACAGAGAAGGAGGAATTCATAAGGAAAAAAAAAAAGGGAAAACGCTACATCCCCTGTCGTTGTTCCCATGGTGGTCAGGCCGGCAGTTGCTGTATTGCCTGTGTTAACAAATCGGTGAAAATCTGTATCAGTCTGCAAGTCCATATAAAACCAAGGCAGAACGCAAATAATCTTGAGTAACCTGGTAACACCATAGTAGTTTTTAATACTTGGTACAGGATTACTCAAATACCAGCTACCCCAGCAGCGGGACTCAGAACAGAAAGGCACTTATCAAGTTACTATCCCAAACCAGATTCTGAAGCAATTCTGGAATCAGAATATTAGTTAAGACAGGGTTGAGATGCAAAAGGATACGGGACTTATAAACGAGATATGTGTAGATGGAATTGCGCGACACCATCGATCACACCTTCTTCATAAAAAACAACCCAAGCAGCAATCTTATTGGAATTGGTCACGGAAACAAGAGTTTCCAGGGTAAAGAAGTTACTCTTTCTCCTGTCATCTGTCACAGAAGAGACACATAAAATAAGTCATTTTCTGGATGGCAGCAGTGACGTGTGGTCCCTTTGCCACAGCATCCCATTTTACTTCTCTTTGCTCCTGTGCTTGAGAAGATCTTTCGCTTGGGAGGGACTGCTATGGGGGCATCCTTGATCCTTGGGTAAGCAAAGACCCTAATGTTTAAACATAAGGATACAAATCTGCATGAGGATTTGACTCCTCAGCCTATCTGGAAATCTCCTTCACGGAAAGGTGCATCCCACCACCTCGAAGCACAGACCCTAGTTCACACCAGACTGAGACGTGGAGTTGCTCAAAGCCATGCGACAGCACAACCTTGCCTCTCCACGTATCGTCTCCTGCCAGGAAGACAGCCCCACACCTACGAGGCGTAGGGCTGGATTAGTACCTGCTTCACCAATTCAGCTGAGAACAAATGCCCTCCGTGCGTAACTGTCAGGGAAACAATGTGCTATAGAAATCTAACTGCAGGCAATTTGGGAAAAAAATTTCTTTCCAAAGGTCTTACGCCATAGGCACGTATCCCACTGCTGGCAGAAAGGCCTGGGGAAATTAAACAAGACTAAGTATGGAGATTAAATCGCTGCTATTAGCAGGTTTTGGGTTGCCTTTCAGAGGCGACAGATGTGGAGAACAAAGGGCTAACACATCTTTTCTACATGCACTTACAGAATCATAGAAAAATTTAGGCTGGAAAAGACCCATGGGCTGGCTGTGAATCCTCTTGGTCCACCAAGGACGTGGGAATATCTAGGACAGACTAACAAGCAGAAATAGCATAAACGATGATGTCAAGTTCTATCTATCTTTCTACCTCACAGAGTACTTTCACTCAAAAAGAAAAAAAAAAAAAAAACAACACCGTTTGAGCCAAATTCCGCCTGTCCTAACAGGACACATTATAGCTGTAGAGTCTGTCCTTGTCACTGTTTGTCGCACTAAGTGACAAGAAGAAAGGAAGTCTTTCCATAGGCGCTAATGCCAGGCAGCGTGAATGCAGTAAGAAAACCGTGAGGACTTTGCCAGGAGCTTGCCCCTATCAGTGGGTTGGTTCCCTTAGCTAAGCTAGGCCACCCCACAACGCAAGAAGGTGGCCACGGCTTCCTCAAAGTAGCCAAACCACAAAAAGTTGTAATAAGCTGTTAAAAGCTTCTCCTCTCCCTCTGGCTGTGTTACTTTTCTCATTCTCTTCCTGCAACTGAGCTGATTGCTGAGTTTCCATAAAATGATGGAAAATGTACTTTCATCCAAAAAAATAAGCAAAAAGGAAGAAAAAGTCAGGCTACTTAAACACGCTGTCAGCACTTCAGCCATAAGGAACATGGAAATGTTCAGGGCTTTGCCTGATCTAATTCCTCTGAGAAAGTTTCTGCTTGATCTTAACAAGAAATATGCATGAATATTTTGGTAAGAAAAAAATGAACTAATATCAGTAAGGGGAAAGTGGGTTCAGATGGTCAGAAACTATTGTTCCAGCTTCAAAGTCAGCAGAAGAAAACGGCTTTCAAGTGCATTAACTGCAGATATGCCTCAGTCAGCGGAAGAAAATGGCTTTCAAGTGCATTAACTGCAGATATGCCTGGATCCTGAGCCAAAGGGAAAACAGTTTTTAAAAAAAGGCCTTACTTAAATTAGATTTCTTTTGGAAGAGAGAAAGCAAGCATCCCAGTTTGAGAACAGAGGTACTATGTCCCTCAGGGCCTGCACCAGCCCCAGGAGATATTATTCAGACCTGCTCATGGTGCATTTCTCCAAAGCCTTTTCTGGAGTTCAGATACCAAACAGGAACAAAAACTGTTTTTCAAATTAACATCTCAGCTTCCGACCACATACTAATTTTGCTAAGCCAGCAAAGGATGAGTAGACAAGCATACAGAAGTTCAGCTGAGCCCGCGGCAGATCTGCCACCAGCTCTTTTCTGCTCCTACTTGTCCACTGGTAACACTAACAATGTGAAGAGAAGGATCCAGAGACGATCTGCATGGGCAGTTGAGCATGAGGCTGACGAAGGACCACTGTGCTAACAGGCTCGTTACCCAAATGGACACATAAAACAAGGGAAGCCGTTAAAAAATCACCTACGTGATTTACCTGAATCTCTGTAGTATGGTATTTCCTCGTGCCACTTCTCACGCTCTTCTGATTTGCACAGGTCAAGGTAAATACTTGAGGGATGTCCCTTCTTTTAACTACCACGGTTTTTTTAAGTGGCCGAGTTCATTAGAGAGCTCCCGAGAAAAGGAGCAACACAAACCCACTAGATGCTTGTGAGAAAAGCCATTCAACCGTGAACAAAGACATCAAATGTGAAGCAAGGAGAAAAGGTGGGAGATGATGTCAAAAGAGGTAAAAGCAGAAGGGGAGAGAGGCCACGTTACGTAACGCTGAGGACAGAAATAGGCCTGTATTGCCTAAATCGATGAGAACTATGAACAGAAAAATCAGGTACTCAGGAAAAAAATAAGTTTGGCAGAACAGAACAGTTACTGTTGCATAGGTCAATTTTTCAGTATCAGTAATGCTAAGCACAGCATGGTACTGTGCACAAGGGTGCTGTCAGGAATTCACTAACGATGCATTTAGGATATTCATTAACTTACCAAGACACAAATATCTCTTATTGTCCCCAATTAGTAACTTGTTAGAAAGGCAACTAACATTCACCAGGAAGACACAAAGTTGACTGAAATCGCCAAAAACTAAATTAATACTGAAGTGTTGCAGGATGAAAAGAAGAACAAGTACCATGAAACTCAAAATTCCTTCTTAAGTGGGGACCCGTGGAGGGAGCACAGGACTCCAGCAGAATCAGAGATAACACTTCACTGCCCGCTAACTGCCCAGCCCTGGAGCGAACGTGGCAGTGGGAGACCGGAGCAGGATGGTAAACGAGGAGAGAATAATCTCTGTTTCTCCTCCCTTTGTGTTTCAGCTTATGTTTCTTAACCTTAAAAAGAATTTCATTAATTTTCAATTGGTAGAGGCACTGAGGAAACACCACTTTCCGGTCCAAGAAGAACATTTTCTTCAATCAGCCTATTCCCCCTGGAAACGCAGGGCCACACCACTCGCTTTAATGACCAATTCAATGAAGTCAGTGAACTGGACAACTACCTTCATAAAAAAAAAAATTAGTCCTTGGGTCAGTTTCTTACTTAGATTTGTAAAACTCCAAATAAAAAAGGGAATAAAGTTTGCAGCAACTGACTTAACAGCAGCTGAACAAAAAGCTGTTCATTAGCTGGATCACACACACATTCAAATATTAGACAGAAGTGACGGTGAACTCCGAATACTGTCGTCTTAACAGGTTATGGTTGGGGGGGATTTTCTTGTACACAAAATCCTAATTTCTGATGCAAATAAAAGCCTGGCTTTGCTCAAGCCAGGTCAAACCCTTGAGCCTGCTCCAGAGAAGGGCACCGTTTTTGAGTCAGCTTCACTTGGGAGCCGAGACACAGACCAAGGAGTCCCCCGTTGCTATTCTTGTACCTGCTTTAGTCAAAAGAACCAAATGTTGAAGCTTCACGCTTAAATTCCAGCTATGTGACTAGGAGGAGGGAGATCAGGAGCTGCTTAACTCCTAGTAATGCAAAGGAGGAGACCTCCAATTCAGTTGAAGGTTAAGAGTCTCAGAATACATGGATGTTTCTTATAGTGCACGTTAACCCAGGAGTGAATAACAGAGGTCACATAACAGAGACCACCTATTTAACAGGATTCACACAAGGCTTGAACACTTACACAGCCAAAATATTCGGAATAGTGAAGCAAACTAGAAGGTGGAGACAAAAGCAGAGATGAAGAGTTTTGGGATGGTTACAAACCCTGGTCCTTCAGTGAGCTTGCTCACTAGGAACAAGACAAATCTTCCTTGGGAAGGTAGTGACAGAATCCTCACAACCTCTTTTGTCTTTTTCCTGTAGGATCTCATGATCATCTCCATCGGCAGCGCCAAGGCGTTGGCATGGCAAGCACCACATGGAGGGACACGCATCCAGGACCTGCTAGCTGCTGTAGTAATTCCCTCCAAACCCCTCCTGTCCTCTTGCTCTTTCCTCCAGAAACCACATCATGCAGCACTGTCCACACCGCACTGCCCTCTCCACCACATGTAAAAAAATTAATCCAAACCTCGAGCTTCAGAATATCGTGCTGCAGTTTGCGCTGGAAGTCGAGGAAGTGGGAGATGGTCAGCTTCCCCTTCAGATCTGCCCCAAAGAAGTACGTTGTCAACGCAGAGTTGAAGCCAGTTTTCAGGGTGTTCCCCGTCGTAGACCGGTCTCTGTGGCGCATGCCCATGCTGGTTTGGGAGCGAATGATGCTCTGGACCTAAAAATAAGAGGGAGGACATTAATACCAAAACCACCACTGGGACTTATGCTAACCAAGTAACTGTACAAGAACTCCAGGCTTGGCCTTCTTCCTGAAATAATTCTCAAAAGACATGACAATCCAAAAATTTGGCTGAACTTAGGCTTTGGGTTTTTTTCAGTCCTCTCTAAAGAGCAGTATAAAATGCTTAAAACCAGTTTTAAGAAACAATTCACCCAGTTTGCAGATGAGCATTTTAGCACTGATCCTACACCCGGTTGGCAGAGAGCAGCTTGTTCCCAGCAAAGTCACAAGAGGAGGGAAAGCCAAGGCAGCCGCCAGGGAAGAGAACTTGGGCACAAAACCAGGGGGTTTCTACCCAAGGGCACCCCCTCCTTGCTGCCTGCTGCTCTCTGAAGCTCCTCCATCCCTGGGGCTATGGGGCAAGCTGAGCTGCAGGCAGAGGCTGACCCAGCCAGAGCAAAGGGCTCTCCAAAAGTTCCGCAGGCTGCATCAGCCCAAATACAACCCCAGCGGCAACGCCAGCAGAACAACAAGCGATGCGGAAGTAGCTGAGTTACCAGCAGAGCGGGATATTTGCACAGAGACAGCCAAGTGTGAAAGCACACATTATAACAGCAATACCTCAAGGTTTTTAACAAACAAACCAGGCAGGCAAACAGCATCCTCCTCCTTCCTTGAGCTCTCAGCAGCGCCCTGTACCTTCTTGGAGGCACCGCTCGAGTGGATGCTACGGGAGGATTCATATTGAGGATGAGTGTGAGAAAGGAAGGGAGAAAAAAGCCACGCAACATGCTGCCCAGCACTCAGCCTCGAGACCACAGGCTTCCCGAAGCTCCAGCAAACACCGCTGCTTTGCCTTCAGTCTCTTCCTCCTGCCGACAAAAGTTGGAAGGGAGGAAGGCAAACAGCTGCCAAGAGCTCCAGCTGTCAAAAAGACACCAGAACCTCGTTATCGTGGGATATGGCGTGTTCAATTTTTTTCCTAACAAGAGAGCGAGCGCTGGAACAACCGCAAAGGGGATGCTCCAGAGGAGAATGCTGCGTATCACTGCTGGGCTCACCTTGCTTGAAAGGCTGCCTCCGAGCCACAGACTAGTAGCTATTCTTTCACTACAGAAAAAAAACAAGTCAAGTCAGAGGGGAAAAAAAAACAACCAACCCAAAAACCCACATAAAAAAGGTTTTGGGTTTTTTTCTTTGAAATATGCACTGTGATGTGAAGAAGGATTTTTGCACTGTAAATAGCAACTCCTTATTTTGCTTTGTGCTCCATTTTAATTGCGAGCTCTGCATGCACATTTTGGAGACAAATATTTATAAACTGTCTGAAGCAATGCAGTTTACAACCAGCCTGGAAAATTGCCCCATTTTCTGCAGAAGCAAATGTTTACCACACTGTAGACTGCTCAATAGAGCATCTTTTCCCGGGTGTTATTTATACAGCATCCTACACCCTCTCCTCTTCTCTCCTCATCTATATCAAGTGTCCGACAGTTTGAAAATCCATCTGTGGGCACTGGAGCCAAAATAATTTTGGCTGGTCCTTATTTTGGATAGTCCTAATACGCAGAAATGCAGGCAACCACTCCAAGAAGTTGCTCTCCAGCCCAGCCAGTGCTGTCCTCCCCCACAGCTCATCGATCGTACGAGGATGTGAAGCACAGAGATGCTTCATCGTCTTTTGTACGTGTTTCAGCCTAAGTGTTTATGACCTGTTTCATCTTTTGCACCAGACAAGGGGAAAAAAAAAAAGAAAAAAAATCAATGAAAATAGTTAATGGTTGGAAGAGAAATCACGGGTAACACTGCCTGTGAGTTTACTACTTTTCATCCAACTTTTTAATTAAAAATAGAAGAGTAAACTAACAATTTACATGCTGAAGGATGAGAAGTTGAGGATGATACTGATGCAGGCACCGAACTATTCAGCGCTATGCACTAAGCATATGCATCAACTGGAAAAAAAAAATCTGAGGCTCTTTAGTGAGGCCTGAAGAAATTCAATATTTTCTTATTAGGTAGTTAAAGCCTCTGACTTATTCGCATATTAGCTAAATTACTGGAAGTAATTTTCTTTCTTGATGAATACTCTTCAGGTTTTTCAGACATTAATGAGAAAAGGAACCTGCTGTTGGCTGTCTCCAAAGATGACGTGTGAAAGAGGAGTATGACATTCATTCCCATGTGCTCACAGCCAGCAGAGACACAACGATGCTTCTGTGATGACCTTTTTCTTTTCCTTCTTTTTCTACCCATTCTCCCCAAAACAACGTTGCTCTTTTAAACTGCTGCCACCTCTAGCAGCATAATCCTCTGCTGCAGGGCCAGTTCCAGCTGCCCCTACCAGATAAGATATTTATGGGACAGACCTGCAAATCCTGCCATCCTTCATGCTCTGAGGCATTTCCATAATGACTGAAAAAGGGTATTTATCATAGAAATTGTGTGTGTGATATATATGTATAATGTTACGTATGTGCCTCCCACTGAAGCTCTGTGTTTGCTTCAATTCTGTTTGCAAAATGCAGCAAATCCGTGCCAGCGATACCTGCGAAACTGTTATAAGCTGCTTCTCGCTTTCCAAAACAGCTCCTTCATCCTCTGACTTGAAAGCTCTGGAAGATCAGTCTTCACCAAGGTATTCTGATGCTAACCAGGAATTTTATTCCTTTATATAGAGGCAGCGACACAGGTAACAAGCTTAACAAAAATACATCCCTCTTCCTAAGGATTTTTATATGACTTAACGCACATATAACTTCCCTTTGCCTACCAGATGATTTGAAATAATTTGATTTGATTTTGTATTTTCATCTTCACAGTGCTTCCGAAATATTCATCCGCAAGAAACATACTTTCTTACTTTACCTGTCTAATAAAAAAGCCAAACACGACACTTGCGTTAGTACCTTGGCATCATTCCATTTTTAGTAGCAGTTAACCATTCTCCATTTTTCTTAAATTCATTTATCCTTGTAATTGAATTCACTCTAGAACATTAGTAACTACTGTAAAACACCTTTTGAATTGTTAAAGATTATCATATGGCTGCAGCGGAGTGCTATATTTATGTACTATGCAAATAGAAGCAAGAGCAGTATTTTTCACTTGGGAAAACAGGAAACTCAGAATTTTTCACAGCTAAATCAGTAGTTTGTAGGGAGGCAGTGCCAAACAGCACAATAACCTGGACGAAGCTGTGTTATTCAAACTTGCACTCTGAGGAAAATGAACAAACTCCTGGGTTTACATTACAAGCTGTCAGGTGAAGGGATATCATATTGGAGATAAGCATACTCCATTCTCCTCATAGTCCAAAGTTTGCATCTAAAAACGTACAGTTAACCAGATATATTACCCAGCTCTGGGGCACACTCATAATAATTTAGTACCTGCGGCTATGATGTCATTAAGAAGGACGACAGCAAAAGATTGGAAATGGGGGAGGGAATTAATTTAACAGATCTGCTTTGCCACTAGTTCTTCCCATTTATAGCCAGTGCCCCAAGCATGACCTCTTACAGACTATTCTGAAGTTAACTAATCACTCCATCAGCTAATAAGTAAAAATTTGTAGCTAGATTATTCAGGCCTGCTTTGTCCTTGGATATCAGCATACAGCTTTTCACCATCTCCGAACACGTATGTCCTCCGGCATAAAAAAACCCAACAGAACAACAAAAACACCCCCACAAGGGCAGGTTATTTTTTTTTTTTTTTGACCACAGAGTCTCGCTTCCTTTGCCCAGAAGCAGTAGCTTCTGCTCGCCCATCAAACGTAAAGCCCCAAGGGATGTGGGGTGACAGAAGAAATGCCAGCGGCCACATGAATATGAGGTAGCTTAGCTGTGTTATCTCCTCTACCTTGTTCTTTGAGAACAGAGGCGATGACTCCTCATCCAACAGCGACTTCAGGATGTTTATGAGTTTCCAAAGCCTTAAGTCTGTTTTCTACGGAGGCAAGAAAACCAAACGCTTCTGCCTGGGGAGGTGAGACCTCTTCCGCACTGACAGCTCGAGTCTTCAATCTATCCTCACTAACACAGTCACAAAACACAGCTTATAGGAGGACCTCACCAGTACCAGACGTGCAGGCTACGCTCAGTAAAAACCTGCATTAAACTCCCTGCTGATGAAACCTTGTAAGAAGTAGGGGAAAAAAACTAATGAAAATACACTCTCCACATACACATTTTTACATTACATTGAAATAAACAGCTAAATTCTCCTTTGAAGCAGAACTTGGTTGTTCTCCAAAGACAACCAAAATTAAGGAATGCAATAAAAGCTGTGGAAGAAAATAGGATCAAAATTCTATGACACCAGTACAGTGAAAACAAATTCTTTATCTACTTTGGAGGTGACATCTTGTAAAGATACCATGGAGACAAAGTCACAGGAAATCTGAGTTTATACTTATAGTTGTCCTGGTTAAATGAAAAATGTCTTGAAATACCCAATAAACAATTAGAAGAAAAAGCAGGCAGTGAGGGAACACAGTAGAGAAGAAAAAGACACAAACCAGCAGTCACCAGAAATATAAATCACGATAACGTCGTAGAGGAGCACTGCACTTATGACTAAGATGCTGTGGCATTAAGAAGTCAACCTGATGTTCAACTTACCTGCTCAAACTCTTCCATGTCCACCTCGCCGTCACCATTCAGATCAAACATCTTAAAGGCGATTTCGAAATTCCTCTGGGGAGCTACATAAAAAAATAAAACACACAATAAAAAAAAAAAAGACTGGTTAACAAAGATACAAAAGCTCAGTAGAAAAAGGCACAAGTTCAGAGTAACTCTATCCAAAAGCAAATTTTTGAAAATTCTTGCAATTTTAAGAAGAAAATGCAGCTTTTGGGAACCTCTAGCTAGGAGCTTCACGGTTCTCCTATTACCAAAGGTCTCAACAAAGAGATTGCGTAGAGGAGATGTTTCTTGAACAAAATTTATTCCATTTACAGATAGAAAAAGCAGGAAAACGAGACACCATCTGATATTTCTAATGACAATCAACAGAAAGTGACCCTGTAGCAGACCTGGACTTTGGGTAATTCTCGTTCAGATTCAGCTCTTGCCTCACTGTGCAAATTTAAACAAATCATTACAGACTGTCTCAGTCCAGTTATGACACTGAGATAACATACGAGCTGGAGCTCACCAGCTGGGACACACCCAAGATGGTATGGTACCTCATTTTTTATTGCATTTAGTCTATGTTGTCATGGTTTATTTAACCAGAACTCTGCAAAAGCATCACTTCACAGCCACCCATCACAGCAAAACCACGCTTTTTCCCCTGCATCCCACCAAAGAATTTCAGTACATTTCCATTTTGGGCTCTGTCACCCATCACCATTTAAAGCTA